AATAACTGATGCTGTCCATCCCACCGAGAAGTTCTTTGTGTTGTTGGCGTATTTATTAATGCAATAATCAGTATTTGTTTGTGCCGAGTTGAATAGGTCAGCCCATCCCAGTTAAATTCTTCCCTTGGATGTTGATGTCAACAGCATTTATGTGACATCTGCCTCCAGACTACAAGCACACACACACTGCAGAAGCCTCCTCCTCAGCCCCGGCCCTGACTGGTGAACATGTGGCGTTTATCTGTGTTCGTGGCTGTTTCCGTGCATTGTGGAAGACCCTAAATCGATCCTGTAGGCCGCAGTGCTGGTGAATGGGGGAAACAGGCCGACACCGAGCGCCTTCACGCCTACGCTCACGATCGCCATAAATGCTCCACAGCCGCTGTTCTGTAGCTCCTTTACTCCGTTTTGGTGTGCGCACATTTTGTACGTCTGTCGTCATGGAATACGTTGGTGTTCCCTGGCATCATTTTGCTGGTGCCCCTCCATCCATTCCCTTCCCCGCATGGTAAAGTGTCTCCTGCCTCCCCCCAGGAAGCCCAGACAACTGTTGTACACAACCCAGCTGACGGCACCAAGGTAAGCTGCTCCTCCTCCAGCCTCCAGCCACTACTAACACCCGTAGATACGTCGTGGAGGATTTTCTCTAAACGAACACCCCCACATCGCTGCATACGCTTTGTCATTGTAGGCGGCTTACTGCTTAGCCAGGAAACAGACGAATTGGGATATTTGAAGGTTTTTAGAGGTTAGAATTTCCACAGGTTTTAAGTTCAGCTGGTTGAAAGTCAATGCAGGTTAAAAGCTTTTCTTAAACATCAGCACCTTAGTTTGACTGATGAGCCAAGTTTTTATTGACTTTTTCCAGCTTATAAAAACTAGTAGAGCTGCAACGACTTGTCAGTTAGTGTCAACAACTGCAATAATTGGCAAATATTTTGATAATTAACTAATTAGTTTTGAGTAATTTTAGTATTTTCTGGTTTCTTTACTCCTTAGTGACGGTAAACTGGATATTTTTAGATTATAGATGAAACAAGACATTTGATTACCTTTAACATAATAATAATTTATCAGTTATTCCAGAAAATAATAGACAGATTAGGCAAGAATGAAAATATATTTTAAAAAACACTAATTCTGTGAAGTGTCAGACACCAAATTTCAGACTCATATGGAGGAGAAAATCCTACACGTACATCTTTAACAGCTGCACATACACACTGAAACCTACAGTTCTCAAATATTCATGTCAGACTTTTTACTAAAATAGGACCCGACTGTCACGCTGCTTGCACTGTCATGCTGGTGCACAAGCTTGCAAAAAAACTACTAGCATCACTAGATATTCGATTGCACTATTTTCTTTCACTCTTCTCCCTCGGCTTCCTCTCGAGGAGCTCCTGTAACGCACCAACACGCACTCCTTCCTGTTCAGACGTAGCCACACGATCTCAAACTGTCTCACACACGTCGTTGCTTTGTTGTCGTGGCTCTCTGCTGCTTCCCCTCGCTGCTGTCCCGGCTGGTTTGTGCTCCTGGGAGGGAGTCGTCCATCCATCCACCCGCCCGCCCATCCATCTGTCCGTCTGATCGTCTCTTGTCTTTTATAGGCAAAGTGTCCGAAGCTTCTCCAACTCGCCTCACTTACAGATTTAAAAACCTTGCGATCTCTTCTCCCCTCCCTTTTATCCAACTTCTCCCCTCTGCCCACCCTCTCTGTCCATCTCTCTGTATGTCTCAACCCGTTGTGTTTGACAGGGCTCCACAGAGAGCTGTAACAACACAGAAGAGGAGGAGATGAAAGGTAGGAAAGGTACTTGTCCAACCTTCACCTACTCTGCATGCCTCTTTTCTTTTTTTTTGCTCACTTTAAATCCTGTCCAGGTCAGACAGATAAAGATGACAAACTATCTTTCACTTCACTTTAATGTGGAGCTAGTGCATGTCTGCCGGGTGGAGGTTTCAGGCAGCTGTCAAGTCTGTTGTTCCACTACAAAGAGCTTCAGTCGGGGCGGCCGAGGCTTCGAGACCCAGCACGTTTTGTAGTTGGATGGGCATCACAGGAAAGATAAATGTTATGTCTAAACGCTGTGCGCGGGGACTGAGACAGTGCTGCTATCCAGGATTATACACTTCTGCTGTCGTCTCCGTTTACGTCTTCTGTGCAGACTGACAGCGTGGTGGTGGTGATGTGTTGCTTATTTAGGGAGGCTTGTAAGAAAACAGCAGGTCACAACTTCAGAGCAAAACCTGTTTGTTCTCATTTCTACGGTCGCCTTATATTCCCTTCCTTATCAGTGGGGGTTTGTCAATGCATTGAACATTTCCCACTTAAACAAATGTGCTTCACTTTAAACTAGGCGACAATTCAGTATCATCTTGAACTGATTGAAATCCAAACTCCAACAGAAACATTGTTTTGTCAGCTTGAAATAAACCAGAGAAATTATCAGAAACAAATATTGATCGCCATAGTGACCAGATATCAAGCTGTTAGTGGAGGTAAACAATTGAATAATGCAGCTTTGCATAAACATCATTTCATGTAAAGTCATTATGTGCAGAATTTAAACATGTCAGACTTACTGATATGTCAGCGATGGTTTAAAAATCACAATCTGAACCCAAGACACTGGAGATTAGGCCAATTCATGCTCTCTGCATCTGCACATTTTGACATTTTTGCAAGTCTCCGAGCGTCTGCACCGATCCGTCTGCAGACATCTGCATGCAAAGTTTATTGGCTGTGCAGATCGTGCGCGGTGAAAGTCGACATCGGACAGCACACTGGGATTAATTAAGCGCTCTTTCAAGTGTGCAACGGTCAACTACAAATCAGATTTCAACAACAGAGGGTGAAAAGCAAGAATGTGGACAAACATCTGAGTAAACTCCAGTTTTTTGTGACATGTGCAGAACAGACACCAGTCTGCTGCGCATGCATGCAAAATGGAAACTCAAAACGGATTAGAAAGTGGTTTAGTAACAACAAACACGTGTCCACAGCTGTCTGCATGCACATCCACTAGGGAGTATATACCCAGCCCTAAGGTGAACAAGTTAAAAGTAAATCATTTCCCTGCTGTAACAGTTGTCAGTAAGATTATCAGCTAATGATTCGAAGATGATCACATGAGACTTCTAAACATAGTGACTTCCAATCAAGGTTGTATTAAAAAGTCAAAGTCATGGCTTCAGTGACCTGTAGCGAACACGCCTCCAACAGCGTTCACATCCACACACGTCTGACTCCGACCGCTGCACGTCGGTTCCTTTGCTTCGTTTTAAACGTCCGTCCGGGCGTCTGCATGCCAGCACCCCACACTACTCAGGCTTTTAATTAGTGGTCTTCAGCTCAGGGATGACCTTTTAAAGTGAATGAAGTAAGACAGAACGACCTGCAGCTTTGCAGTAAAGAGTTAATCCTGTTACTTAAGGCAGCGTTCCATGGATTTAGCAGTACCTGATCTCATAGAGGATCACTGCTGACATGCAGTCCAGAGGCTGTTGTTCGTCCTCTCTCTCTCTCTCTCTCTCTCTCTCTCTCTCCTGCCTTTCTCAGGGTCATATGTACTCCTTAAGTTGCTTAATGAATGCATTGTAACTTCCACTGTCTAGCCTAAAATACTACCTCAAACACTGCTGGGATGCTCCAAATAAAGAGTTTCCTATTCTAATACAGAACACAAGGGGGCATGAAGCTAAAGGAGAAAGTGACCAGAACGTCAGATCATCTGCAGCTCATTAGTTTACTGCATCCCTTTGCACCAGCTGATAATATAATTTAGTTTAAATTAACAACAACAGCGACGTTGTGACTGGTTAGTTTTAAACGTAACTCTTCTCTTTGATCAGTTGCACCATCTTTAATGACAAAACGGCGTAACTGAGTCAACTGTAATCAAAACATTATTCTAAAGAGTCATGTGTTATCCAGGGCACCGTTTGTTTCTGTGAAAGCATGTAAGCGCTAATTCCAGTTTCAAGTAAATGCATCATTAAAGTTAAATATCAGCTGTCATATATTGCAAATAACAAAACAAAAATTCACTCAAAATCTTTTTCTTTTTTTTAAAATTAACAAGAATCAGTCAGTTGGTAGGTAGCCTACTGCTCAGGAAATGTTAAAATTGTAAAAGTTGTAATAAGTTATAAAAGGTTAATGTTAACAATAGAAATTATTTCCCATACTTTTAAAAAAATTGTCTATTTCAGCGGTTTTTTATTAGGTTACAGCTGAATAAGACTCAAATGGTTCATTACAAAATCTTTTCCATCTTTGCGACACAGAATTAAAACAGGACATGTGTGTCACTGTCATTAAAAACATAGAAAAATAGATTTTCTCCAACATTAGGGTCTTTCTGTTCCGCCACGAAGACAACACTTAATAAGGAAGACTTACACCTTCTATAACAGTTCTAATTGGTCTTTTATAATAACAACGTAAAGCTCTTAAACCCCACTTTACACTACCTGCTGACCACTTAGCACCTACAGAGAGCAGTATGTCCCTGAGGGGTTGGTGGAGACCAAAAACGTAGCTAAAAGACTTTTTCTAATATTATTAATCTTTATGTGGACACAAACATGGCTTCAGTTAAACACATGTTGCTCTGTAATGCTTCAACAGCAGCTGAAAACATGTCAGAGTCACGTTCACACCTTCAGGTTTTGCAGGTTACGTCTTAAATCTACATTGTTGTTAATTTGCATGGTTCAGTCTGTTTTACCTTCCACACTAGTTTATGTCTGAGCTCACTCTGGTTCTTATTATTGGTGCAACAGGCTGCTGATCTGCATTTAGCCCTGATGTTTGTGCTCAAACCTCCCTAAAGGTTGCTCACTGTGCAGCACAAACGATGTGAGGTTTTGCTGCTCGAGGGTGTCGTGTGCAGTTTGTATTTCTTTCTTTCTGATGCAATAATAGATTGTGGTGCTGCAACATGTAGTCAGTTAACCGAGGAGCTGATTGACAGAAGTTTGGTGCATTTGTAAAAGGAAACATACACCAGCTTGACAAACGGAATTATTGGTGCTTTTCTTAGTTGTTTTTTTAGATGTTTTTGGATGTTGGTCTCACAAGCTGCCCTGGAATACGTTTTTCCCCACAACAAAACAATCCAAAATGAACAACAAATTAATATATAATGAGTTGCTACCAGACTGTGGGCTCCCTGTCAGTTAGCATCTGTGTGTATTTGTGTGTTTGTCTCGTGATGAGGGCAGCGGCTGCCGGTGAGTCCACTAGTGCAGACAGAGCAGGGTTAACACAGTGCAGCACTGCTGAGGAGCAGGTCCAGACCCCGTCTCCTCACGGCCCTCCAGCCTCCTGTAAGTCAGCAGCAGTTTACCTGATTCAGCTCTGACCTTTCTGCTCTGGCCTTTCCTCTAAAACAGTCTACAAGCAAAACAAGACACATTGTTGTTAAAAGTCCACACATAAATAATAAATAAACAGCCTGATATACTCTCTTCCATGCTTTCCACTAACTCGCTGCACTGGCTCCTCTCTGCCCTCCTGTGCTGCCATCTACTGGCATCCTGATGTGACTGCAGTCTACTGCTACCCTTCTCATTATCTTGAATTTCACTTTGCAATGTACTCTGAGCAAAGCAAACTAAGTGTTGGATAAAGCTGAGAAGCCATGTATGTAACGTCATTCTATTTGGACTGTACCTGCCTGCAGCTGCGCCCCTGCAGGAGGCTGTTAGCAGCCCCACTGCCCCCGTAGCTCAGACCAGTCCGGCTCAGAGCTCCGGTCCTGAACCAGAGTCCGCTCTGTCGCCCCCCGCAGGCAGCAGCAGCAACCTGCAGCAGAGTAAGTGACAGGCAGGCTGTGCTCATGAAGCAGTGTTCGTGTGGTTTGTTCTAACTTTCTGTGCCACGTGTTGGCAGAAGGTTGGAGGAAGACTTTATGACCAGAGCTACATGCAGATGTTTAAATTAGCAGCTGCATGTTAGCCGACGTCAGCGGTAGCATATAAACACCCATAAAGTCTGCCGAGTTATTCTGTCCTGCACCATTCAGAGTGTGTTCATGGAGTTTATGATGTGCTTCTAGCCTCACTTTTAAAATCTGGTCTATTTGAGTAAAGGTTCATATGAAGAATTTGGTGTTCTCACATTTAAAAACTGCAGCAGATATTTATATTAGTGTTACATTTATCTTTAGAGACACTTCAGCAGCACATGAGCGTTACATGCAGCATTAAATACTCTCGATTCTGTGTGCAGCATAGAGAGTGTGGTGGTGTTTTGTTTTTTGTGGGGTTTTTTTCAGGGTGACTTCAAATGTCACTGTCATTTTTACCAAAGGCGGTGCACGTGTGGGGAATTTATTTCAAATGTCAGGCAGTAAGCTGAGGTGAAGCATGTGGCGTGGGATGTGCATGTTGAACCCTGGGATGATCCCTGACGGTCTGTAACCTCTCGTGGTCGTCTCCTCGTCTCTCTCTCTGTTTTCAGCTCGTAAACAGGAGATAATAAAGATGACGGAGCAGCTGATTGAAGCCATCAACAACGGGGACTTTGAGGCCTACACGTAAGTTTACATAAGCAGCTTGATAAACTCCTTTGTGTTCAAGTCTTCATGGATCAAAACATTTTGTCAACTGGAACACAAGGAAACTCTTAGCTTATCTTTTATGTGAAACTGACTTATTAGTGTTTGGGTCTGATCTGCAGTTTTCAATCCTCCTCAATATCCACTGCAGGATTATCTAAGGTTGTGTTTTCCTCTGACAGGAGAATCTGTGACCCTGGACTGACCTCTTTTGAGCCAGAGGCCCTCGGAAACCTGGTGGAGGGCATGGACTTCCACAAGTTCTACTTTGAGAATCGTAAGTTGCTCAGTTTGGTAGATTTGTAATGTTACTGCAGTGCTTGATGACTTGCAGGCGTTCATCAAAGGTTCAAATTTGAGCCACTGGATCCACTGAATGTTTGCTTTAAAATCGAATCCCGCTAAAACTAATCAACTAGTCATTGCTGCCTCTTTGGTATAAATGCGTCAGAGCAGCAGGGACAATAACCCGATAAACTCTGTAACAATGCCTCATTTACAGTTTAACAGCTAAAGCACTAAACCTTAAAGTTCAATCCAGATTCCAGTGTTTCCAAAAATGCTTCATATCGTGCTAAATTTCAGGCTAACAGACTTCAATGTCTGTTTATTCAAATGCATTAAATGTCAAAGTGAAGCAATCAATCCATGAGTTAAACGGTTTGCTCCTCTGGCTGTTTAAAGCTGCCAACATATCGCCTGTGGCAGCTTCAATATGATAAACGCTCTCTAATGTAATTACCGAGCGCTGACACCTGACCCGCCGCATGCAGCTGACATGCACGTCTCCACCCCCGCAGTTCTGAGTAAAAACAGCAAACCAGTGCACACCACCATCCTCAACCCCCACGTCCATCTGATCGGCGAGGATGCCGCCTGCATCGCCTACATCCGCCTGACGCAGTACATCGACAGCCAGGGGCGGCCGCGCTCCTGCCAGTCGGAGGAGACGCGCGTTTGGCATCGCCGCGACGCCAAGTGGCTCAACGTGCACTTCCACTGCTCAGGCGCGCCGGCTGCACCCCTGCAGTGAACTGACAAGCCAGGCAAGGTGGGAACGTCTCGCCACAATGACACTCTGTGGGGTGCGCTTACAGTTTTATGCTGCATGCGAGGATTACAGGCTGTGAAAGTTGTAAAAGCTGTTTGCGCAGGTTATTTGGCTCTTCAGGGGGTTTTACTGTGAAGCGTTTTTTTTTAAGGCTACAATGTGAAGCTCGTAGCCTTGAGGCAGCTTTATTGTTTGACTCGTCGCCCTCCCTCTTAGGTGGGCTCGACCCTGACACACAACTCATCCTGTTCATTACCTTGTCAGCACTTTTAACGAACAGAAACACTTCCCACGATCGTGGCTTTATAAGCAGCCAATTTAAAGGAAGTTGAAGGAGTTCGGCTTGTGAAAGACAAACACATACTGATGGTTACACACGTCTGTCTAATAGTTTACTATTAAGGGATAGTCAAGATTTTTCAGCAGGCGACAACAAAAGTTTCAAACAGACTCTTTCATACTGTCTAAATTGCAAAAATGCATTTATTTCTAACATTTTTTGTGCTAGAACATCATCAGGCAAAACGTCCACAACCAATCACATTCCTCATATCCTATAAGAGGTCAAGAATCCCAAACATCCTCTCACTACATGATAGCATCATACAAGAAGTTTAAAAGTAAAACACTCCACATAGTTGCAGTCATAAATGTGTACATTAAAATTACTTGTGGATACAGCTGCAGGGATATATTATATATATATAAAGCTTTGATCAATGCATTTAGCAGCATACACTTTATTTCCCCTCTTCCCAGGCATAGATGAGGAGGTTGATGTTGTGGAGCCCCAAAAGGTCACGGTGGAACCTTTTTTGAGGACTATTTTTGCGCTGCCTTGCAGTGTTTCTTTCTTTCTGCTCCTTATGAACAGTGGGTGTGTTGCCAGTTCATTGAAACACTCTGCAGCTACCACAGAAGCAGGACAATGATGTGACACTTGCATTTATAGCTCAGTATTTATTCTGAAAGGACACTTTCTGACAGAAATCAGCTGCCGGTTGTGAGCACAGCTGCAGCTGTTCTGCCCGCTGCGATGGCGAAGCTGTGGCTGGGTGGTTGTTGTCTGGACGTCAGCAGCTGTGGTTCAATCTGTGGTGCTATGAATGTGTCCAGCTGTTACTATTTTAACCTGTGGTGCTTCTGTGATGGATTTGTTTGTTTATATAGGAATTAAGGAATACAGTAGCTTCAATACAACACTCAGCCAGCTAAACAAACACTGCACATGTACAGCACTGCTGCAACAATGGCTACAAGCACAGCTGAGGATGCACTGAATCTCTGGACCTGTATGAGCCGTCAGTAGCATGTAGGTGGCGCTGGTTGTGGCTGAAGAGTGTGTGCATCCTCAGTTGTGTCTGTCAGGCACAAGTCAGCATCGCCGCATTAGGAAAGAAAACTAGAGGAGCTCTGGCACTGACCGCTACTGAGACACACTATATGGCTGCAGGCATTGTGATAAATACATTTATATATTTTGAGCTTTTGCCTTTATTTAGAGCAGTAGAGACAGACAGCATAGGGGGGAGAAGAATGGGGAGAGACCTGCAGCAAAGGGTTGCGAGCAGGATTCAAACCCATGGCCACTGCGTAGCCCCTGTTCATGGGTCGCCTGCTCAACTAGGTGAGCTATAGGGGCACCTGACAGATATGTTTTACTGGTAGTTACACTGAGCACATTAGTGAGTGCAGTGTTAGTTTTGCTGTATTCCAAATAAACACATTAGTCATAGAAGCACCACAGGTTAAAATAGTATCAGCTGGACACATCCATAGCACCACAGACTGAACCACAACAACTGTATATCCAGCTACAGCGTCACCATCAGACAGGTTAAACAGCTGCCAATGTGCTCACAACCAGCAGCTGGATACTGATCAGCCTGTTCAAATTTAAAATACATTGCTTCATAGTTGGAATTATCATCGAGCAGTGTAGTTACTTCAGTGTCGTACTCATCTGTGTTGAGTACCACTGTGTGTTTTTCCCCATTACTGAACACACCAGCTGTTTATATGGATCAGGAGGAGCGTAAATCATACTGCAAACATATTGTGAGGAAACGCTGGTAGTTCTCAAAAAAAATCTTTGCTTCGTACATCCCATTACATGCCTGAGCAGCCACAGCTGAGGGTGAAGTGACTCAGTGGCGTCATAACCAGCAGCAGCAGTCCTCTATAATACATGACACTGTGCTGTAATACAGCTCAGCTATTCACTGTGGGTCAGAGAGGGTGGAGGCATTATCACGAGGTTACCCAAGGAAAAAAAAATTTTTAAATCCCACCGTGATGTTTTGTGAATTCCAAACGATGCCACTCACATTTAACATGGTTAGCTTAGCTTAGCATAAAGACTACACAAGTGGGAGTGAGACAGCTCGCCTGGCTCTGAGGTGAACAAATGTGAAAATGTGATGCACTGAAACAGCGAATCCTAAACTGTGAACAGAGCCAGATTAGCTGTTTACCTTGCCTACAGTATTTATGCTAAGTTAACCAAATAAGCATAACATCTGACTACATAAAAAAGGTTGAGTTATTCACCACTGGAGGATTGTTTTTACTGAATTACAACATTTTCTGATGTTCAGTCACGCCTGGACTCCAGATTCTAGTTGCTGAGGTTTTCAGATATCAGCCTGTGAATTTTCTTCCTCCAGATCAATACAAAGTGAATGAAATATCGTTTGTTTTACTCAAAGTAATGAAACTCCACTGTATGCTTTCCATCTAAGTCAGCACCCACTTTAGCATCTAACCTGATTTCTAACCACTACCTGTTACAGCTGCTGACATTCATCCATTTGTCATGTTTTTGTGCAAAGATGAATTGTGGTTTTGAATTCAGCAAACAAGTTCCATTCACTTTGTGCTGAGCTTGGAGGAGAAATCTCAGACAGACAACAAGACCTTATGAAGCATCAACTGTCTGCATCACTGCTGTTTTCCTTGTTGCTTTTGTAATGAACCCTTTAAAGCCAGCTTTCTCACTAACCCTTGTGTTTTTCCCTCCCCCAGCTCTGCCTGAACTCTAAAGCTATTTGGAGCATTTATCCTCCGTGGTCGGAGTGGTGCCGGGATCTTGGCCGGGAAGAGGCTGCTTGGAAAACACAACAGTTGGAAAAATACATTACAATTAAAAAAAAACAGAATTTAAAAAAAATATTTAAAAAAACATAAACCAATAAAAAAAAAAAAAAGCATATTTCAAAAGCTTGACTGAATGACCGACCACACCGACCAACACCAATCCAGTCCAACCCTAGCTAGATGATGTTGGGGCCCGGCTGATGTCAACCCCTTCTTGCAGATGGTGCATGCTTCTGGTGGCAACACAGGGGTGATGCTGTCCTGGTCCTCTCTCCCCATGGCCTTTATTCCCCCCGTCTTTGTTTTGTCTGCCGTGTGGAAAAGTATTAACATGTTTTAAAAAATCTATATATATAACAACTGAAAAACAAAGTACACTTCACACACTTAGTGCGTATGACTGGGGCAGCAAGTATATCTGGAAAAATGTGATTTCTTTTTGTCTCGACAGAGCAGCAGAAAGTCTACTTTATTACAAGTATTGTTTGTTTTACACTTAATAGGTATATATGTGGGTGGGGTTTATGGGAACGGGAGCATATCTAAATATCAGAATTTAACAACAATGTACGTGTCGTCTGCACACGATGTTTGAACGGGGTTTAGGCGTTGTGATGTGTTATACTGAAGGGACCTTTGTTTTTATTTTGTCTTTTTGTATTATGTGTTTTTGTTTTATCTCCTGAAGAAGGGATGATATTTTAAAGTATTTTGTGTTGAGAGATAATTTTTAATCAAAAGGGGATTTTATTTAACAGAATTGTGTATAAAAAGATATTTATATAGGAGAAAAGGGGAACCGTTCTTTGCTTTCAGGGTGTAGGGAGGGGATTTTGGCATGAGAGAGTGGGTGTTTTTCTTCCTTTTTTTTTGATGTCCTGAGGTGTAAATACAAAAACCATATTCACACACACAACATGCATGAACACACACACTTAAAGCCCCTGTGCTCCAGGCTTTGAGGTCGAGCCTCTCCTGAGCTTTAGACACAACGTCCAGGCCAGCCAATCCTGAAGTTGCAGAAGGTCTCCATCTGTCTGTCCTGCAGTGTTTGAACACTAGGTGGCGTCATCAGTCCAAGTCTAGAGCTCATCACATGTTTGACTACCTAATCTGAAAGCACGGACACTCTCACGCCAACTTCTTACTTTTTCCTTTGACTTGTTTTTGTGTGTTTTTGACGTGAAGCATGATTTCTTTGAACTATCTAATGGCCTGTACTGTTTTTGCACAGACACTTACGACTCGATGCTGTTGTGTTTGCTCTTCTGAGGGAGTGAACCTTTCTGCAACTTCAGGTTACGCTTGCCAAAATCCTTCCCTTCCACCCTACCTCTGCCCTTCTACTTCCATCATTCCTGCCTCTTAAGCTCTCCACGTCTGTTGTGACCTTCGCTAACCAGCCCCATTACTGTCTTAGTAGCACCACGCCGTGTGATGATGATGATGATGATGATGACGATGTCACCCTTACGCCTGTCTCTTGTTCTGATTGTGTTCTTAAAAGTTTGTATATTGTCCGTCTTGGCTTGCTGTACTTCGGTGTGAAGTCCTGGCACTATTAAAAGCATGTTATAAAGAAAATGCAGCCGAGGGATCGGACACAAAGAAAGGCATGATGGGAAGAGGGCTAAGCCGTCTAGAGGGCTGTGGGACCTTTGCTGATGGCAATCAAAGACTTGGTCCCTTTTGTCAGTTTCTGTTGTAAACGTTGTAGTTGTTAGTGTTTTGATGTTGATATTTTTATCAGTTCTTTTAGCCAGAACTTTAAAAAAAAAAAAGTCTAAGGGGTTGAAATGAATGGAGACTGCCACAACCCCTTTGTAAACGCCCCTCACACACTGATCGACACACACCGAATGCTGTCATCTTGAGACGAAAACTCCTTTTTGCTAAATTACACGTAAATTCACAGCATCTTCTAAGCACATGAGGTCAAAGATTCTCCCTTTAAAAGAGGACAAAACATATCTGTGTGTCGGTGGTTACACTTTGCAGCACTGTTTTTTCACTGTCGTAGAAACCTTGTGAGTGTGTGACTTTGTACCTGCGGAGGGTTGAGGCTTGCTGTCCGTCCCGTCTCTGTGCGACGCTGCTCCATAGTAACTCATGCACTACGTAGGCTGTTGCTGCTGCTTCTCTACGAGCAGAAACCACAACGATGCTTCAGATCATCACATATCACGTCTATGTACCGACACCTTAAAGCAAACTTTAAAAAAACAAAAACTAAACCGTTGTGAATCCTCCGTGAGCCCCGTCCTCCTGTACCAACCGCCTGTGCTTCTTTCTGAGTGCTGTGACATATCTGACATGCCATGAAAACTGTGTCTCCCCCCCCACCCTCCACTTTTTGCACCATGACGACGCGTTGTAAAACCAGTACTAAAACTATGTGATGTTTTTTATGGTTCTAAGTAGTTCTGTTCGTGCTGTGGGCGCCGGCCCAGTTGTCTGTTGATGCCACCATTCTGACAAGATGCTTTTCTTTCATTGTGTGTGTGTGTGTACTTCCACACAGTCATGGGAATGTCTAAGTACGACGCAGTTGAACTTTACAGGTTATCTATGAAGCAGGGGGACTGATTTGGGGCGAAAAAAAACAGGTTTGCCAAAGTTTTTGGACAGTTGGTGTTTACGTTTTTGATCAATTCAAATGAAGCCAAAACTTGTCAGCAGGTATTTTGATGTGTGGTCGCAGGAAAAGCTCGGGTATAAACACCAACATGAGTAAAGGCTCCTGGTACAGATAGACTTCACTATGTTAGTAGTTACACCTCTGCTTTTCCTGCTATGAAAACATTTGTTAGTGCTGAAGTTAGCCCACTCACACCTTTACTTTTCCAGTTACATAACAGTGATTTCCAACCTTCTGCCTTGTGACCCACCTCTTCACACATAGGTGACAGAAATTCAGTGATTTTCTCGTCTCTGATTGTTTAATCTGGATCATATTTACACGCCTGAAGACTTAAATATTAGTATCATATCTTGTTAAAGGTAACCCGTGGAGTTTTTAACCAATACCTGCACTATGAAGCAGCTCTTTCAGTGCACGGAGGTAACACGATACACATTCCTGCCAGCGGTTTAGGTTGTTGCACTAATCTACAGGTGGTAACAACAAGCCAAGATAACGTAGCAAAGCACCAGCGGAGAAGACTAGTAAGTAAATGTGGATGTAATTAAAGGCATCCAAGAAATTTGACTTTGCAAATGTTTCAAGTAAAGAAATGCACTTATTCATAATTATGTTGAGGATATGTTGGATTGTTTTTAGAAATACTGAACTCCACATGACGCCTTTGATCACGTTGTGAGCAGATTTATTTCACTCCAGGTTGGGAATCACTGTTGTTTATTAAACCATCACGACGGCATGCTTCTACTACACAGAGCTAAAAGACAAAATAATAATCCAGCCTTGTATAACATGAGATAGTAAAAGGTATTTTTAATGTTTTGCATACTAGCTGAGGATCTGGACACTGAATCCCAGTCGAATCAGCCGTCAGAGACCAAGAAAGATAGAAATGTTTTATCGGCAAACAAATACTGAACTGTGACGTTCAATGCCACTCAATTTACGGCATTGAGTTATTTTACTTTCAAAGTGATCTGGTTTTGTTTATCTGGTTGAAATTTCAAATACCTTTTTTTCAGGTTAACTTGTTTTTCTTGAAAGTTGAATTTTCATCTTGTATGTTGGTGTTGAAACTTCACCAGTTCAATTCAGCAACTTCATTTTTTTTTACATCTGAAAATGACCAAAGTAATCAGAGTAAAACTGGACGCTGACGAATGCAGTAACACATTTTTCTGGCCACTTTAGCTCCGTGGAAACTAGATGTGTTGATTCAGTAAACAGCTGCTTCATCAGTTATTTGTTGTAGTGTTTGGTCACCTGATAAATATAATTCCACTGTTGAAGTTTAAATTATCTGTGACTTCATGAAACAGAGAAACTCATCTTTTAAAATCGGTTTTTAAATTTGCACCGCTTCACTGATTTCAAACCAGATACGCTCACATCAGTAGTGAAACATTTCAATGCTGTAGATTCAGATTTCAGCATCGATATTAAGTCACAGTTTAGTGCTCATTTGCTGATAAAATTTAAATTATATTGCGATTCACTGTAGTGTAACAGTGTTTGAACATGACAGGGTATCAACTGTTGTAAATAGGAAACGTGACCAAATATGACCTTACCTTTGGGACGATGGCAGGAACTACCTACAGGACAAATCACAGCAGGTGAAGGAGCTTATTGTTTTGCTGCATTTACATTTTTTTTTTTGTTGTAAAAATGCAAATGTGTGCAAAACTAAAAGTCCACAGTTCAAATACTTTGGCAAATGTCTATTAACAAAAACTGTCCTGGACCGAAACGAGGGGCTGAAAAGATTCTCGAAACGCTTCAGATGTTGAAAAAGGACGATTTAAAAACCACAATCTTTAACAGCAACACTATATATGCAGTTTTACAAATGGAAGAAATATGCATGTCTACTTTCTGGTAATTTTTCACTGTTTACTTGATAAAGAAATGGAAATCTATGTTATTTGCATCCTCGAGGTTATGAAATGGCTGTCTGAGATATCGAAATCCAGTGGTGTTATCTCGCATTAAAATGCATAAAAGATGAGCAAAAGCCTTAGCTTGTATGTGCCCCTTTGGAAGTCGGTTTATTGCATTGTAAGCTGACAGTAGAAGGGGCCACATATGTCTATACTATCAGTTTCAATTGGATGCTGGATTTTTGCATGACCATTAATAAAAAGCATACATTAAAAACTATCAAGTGTTTGTTTGAATGGTTGTTATTCATAGCTTTGTTATTATTGGAAAATGAAAGAGTATTTAATAAAAATAGCATTTCAATATCGATCTGTGTGTTTTTCTCTTGTTGCAGCGTAAAAGGTCTCCCTGTGTGGTCGAGTACTGCACACTGTGAGCTTTTCTGCTCAGAAAATCACTCGTTTTAATAAGAATGACTCAAGTTTCAGAGGTATTGTGTAATATTTAAATATCAGAGGCCTGCAAAAGTTTGGGCCTGGTGTTTCTGTTGCTGTGCGTAATTACAGTAAGGAGAAGATGAACTGATCTCCAGA